ACTCAATTTTGATAACACAGCTAAACAAATGCCAAAGGGATGTGTATGATTCTGTGATTAATGCTGTGAATGAAAAGAAACCAGACCTTTTTTTGTTCATGGCCATGGAGGAACTGGAAAAACTTTTTTGTGGCATACTATAATAAGTAAAATTAGATTTGAAGGCAAGATTGTTTTAGCTGTTGCTTCATCAGGAATAGCGTCATTATTATTGCCAGGTGGTAGAACAACTCACTCTAGATTTAAGATTCCCTTAATTGTTACCAATTCCTCAACATGTCAAATTAAAAAAGCAACTCATCTTGCCAGATTGATTGAAAAGGCTGAACTGGTTGTTTGAGATGAAGCTCCTATGAATCATAAACATTGTTTTGAAGCATTAGATAAATCGCTTCGTGATATTTTATCGCATGTCAATGATTCAAATCAAAATGCTCCATTTGGTGGCAAGCCTTTTCTGTTAGGTGGTGATTTTAGACAAATATTACCAGTTATTCCAGGAGGAACGAGAGAAGAAATCATAGACGCCTCTCTTAATAGCTCTTACCTATGGCCTTATTTTAAAATATTTTGTTTAAAAGAAAACATGAGGCTATCAAAAAAAGGATTGAACAGTGAAGAAAAACAGAAAATAAGTGAATTTGCTGCTTGGATTCTTCGAATTGGAAATGGCCAGATAATTGATATTGATGATCCAAATGATGAAGAGGGACCTTGGATTGAAATTCCTCAAGATTTACTCATTCAATCATACATAGATCCTATTCAATCAATTTTTCTGGCAACTTACCTAGATTTTGACAAAAATTTTGCCGATTTTGCTTATTTAAGGGAACGAGCCATTATTACAGCTAGGAATTCTATTGTGACAGAAATAAATAATTACGCAGTAGACTTATTGCCTGGAAAAAAACACGTTTATTTGAGCTCAGATTCTTTATGTCCATCATCAACCAATTTTGAAAACCTTTGTATGATGTATTCCGTAAAATTTCTCAATCAACTTGAATTTAATGGTTTGCCTAAACATAGTTTGACTTTAAAAATTGGCATGCCTATTATGTTATTAAGAAACCTAAATCAATCTTCAGGTTTATGTAGTGGAACAAGATTAGTTGTGACCCAAATGGTTGATAAAGTTATTGAAGCAAAAATACTCACTGGTCGCCACATTGGCCACAAAGTGTTTATACCTAGGATCATTCTTTCAGCAACAAAAAACAAATGGCCTTTCATTTTTAAAAGGCGTCAATTCCCAATTAGGCCATGCTATGCTATGACTATAAACAAAAGTCAATGTCAATCTTTAAAACAAGTTGGGTTGTATCTTCCCCAACCTGTTTTCACTCATGGACAGCTTTATGTCGCATTATCTAGAGCTACATCTAGAGAAGGCCTCAAAATCATAATAGATAATAATAAAGAAGTGCCAAAGAAATACACTAAAAACATAGTGTACAAAGATGTTCTTCAACATTTACTATCAGGTTTCAGCTACCTTCTATTCATACATGATTAAACATTCCTCTATTTTCTACAATAATTTTTTATGCATCTTTATACTAACCAAGGGCATATATATATTTTCTTCAGATTGAGGGCACAATGAACATTGTTCCGATCCACAATTTGCACCCCTTTCAATCCAGTGTGAAAATTAGAGAATGTGTGTAAAACCTGGAGACCAAAGGTGTTCAGATCTGATGCACATTCAAATTAACAGGTATAAATGTTAACAAAACATTTATAAATTTACAAATGTTACACCTCTTATTAGTTTTTTTTTTTTTTTTTTTTATCTGATACAGGAGTGGGAAAATTAGAGTCACTTTGTGGGGCGGCACAACGAAGACTTTTGATGTAAAAGCTTTACAAGCCTCAAAGTTAAACAATTTCAGGATATACAATTTATTTCTCCTACTTTCTTTACCTATTCTTATTAAGCAGGTAAAATCTCTTTGTCTCTCTCTATTTGAGCATGTGGATAATAAACCTTAGGAGCTTAATATCTATTTGCATCTAAACAAAATAAGATTTAGAGATGATATTTTGAACTATTTGGTGTCTTTGTTCTTCCCTGCATTGTTCCTGTTAATGTATGGTTTTTACTAATTTCTTTTGGCTTCCCTTGACAACTTTGTAATAGGATGTGTAATGTAATTTATCAAGCTCAAGTCTAGATTAGGGAAAACTTTTATTGGTGCTCTTCTCTAATCTCTGCTCTATGGTGGCTCAAGCAAGTTGACAAAGGTATTGAGCATTGCATATCATTACATAAAACAGTCTTCATAAAAAGATGACTAGTCAACCGTTTCTCATATGACTAGTCATCCTTGCCTCCAGCTGGATAACAAACTGTTTTGTCCTATTCTTCTTTCTCTCTCTCTGCTGCCAAGTGGGTTTTCTGACCTAACGATTTGTTGGTCTGTATAGCCCACGATATTTCTCATTTGGCGTTGTCTCTTTTCGGGTGGAAGTTTTGGAAAGTTTGGCTTGCCATCTTTCGCTTCTTCTTCCACGAGAGAACCATTATTTCATCTATGAGTTTTTCCAATTGATTTCTTTTTGAAAAACTGCATTTGAAACACAAATCTGCATCTAGCTATTTAAATCATTCTATCATTTATATCTAGGTCGGATTCAAGATTGATTTCTTCAAGAGTATGGTTTCTTGAAGAAATTGGTCTTTCTCCTTTGAATCCAAATTGGTTTCGGTTTGTGTTGGAGCTTGCAAGCTAGTGCCATGGGATGAACGAGCTGGAGAAGGAGCTGCCATTGCCATGAAGGACTGAGCTTCAAGCTTTGCTAAGTTGGAGAAGAAGATTGCACAAAGGAGGTATTGCTCATATTCCTAAATAGACCTAGGTGCTTCTTGAGCTTGGTTGTGTTTCCTTTGTAAGAATCTTTTTCTACTTAGTGGATTGCCTGGTCGGTTGATGACTCCCAGTTTTTCCCAATGGTGGGTTTCTGGGTGAACAAAATCTGTTTTGCATATCTGTAATTTTTCTGGGTTTGTGTTCTTGGTGGTTGACTAGTCATCTGTATCTGCTGTTTGATGTTTACATGATAATGATGATTTCACACACTTTCACCATAGTTGTTGCTAGCACAGGGGATGCCTAGATTGACGGGTCCTTCTGAGTGCCTAGGTTGTCACTAGTAATCTTCTAGGATTGCAGGTACATTGTGGCATGCTCTGTGTATTCTATTGGTTGTGATTGTTTCTTGACTAGTAGTTGACTAGTCATATGTGTATTTGGTCAAGGTTTAAAGTGTGTGAAGCTAGCTGTGTTGTTGTGTCTTGTTTGTGTGATTAAGTTTACCCCTCGTCACCTAAGTATCATTTTCAGTTCCGATCCACAATTTGCACCCCTTTCAATCCAGTGTGAAAATTAGAGAATGTGTGTAAAACCTGGAGACCAAAGGTGTTCAGATCTGATGCACATTCAAATTAACAGGTATAAATGTTAACAAAACATTTATAAATTTACAAATGTTACACCTCTTATTAGTTTTTTTTTTTTTTTTTTTTTTTTTTTTTTTTTTTTTTATATATATCTGATACAGGAGTGGGAAAATTAGAGTCACTTTGTGGGGCGGCACAACGAAGACTTTTGATGTAAAAGCTTTACAAGCCTCAAAGTTAAACAATTTCAGGATATACAATTTATTTCTCCTACTTTCTTTACCTATTCTTATTAAGCAGGTAAAATCTCTTTGTCTCTCTCTATTTGAGCATGTGGATAATAAACCTTAGGAGCTTAATATCTATTTGCATCTAAACAAAATAAGATTTAGAGATGATATTTTGAACTATTTGGTGTCTTTGTTCTTCCCTGCATGTGCTTGGAATTACAATGAAAATTTCCTTTCATTCTTTTTTTTAGCTGTTGAAAGGCTTGATCATGACGACAAAGGTGATTTTGCAACTTCACCAAAGCATTTTAGGTGAGAACCATATGCTCAAATTGCTCTTTTGGACTGAAATTAAGCCTTTTGTGTGATGATTTACCGTATGATTAAGTTCGATGTTTAAGCTTATGGATTGGTTAATGGTGGATTTGAATTGGCACTTAGAGTTGCTTGAGTGAGGTTGATAACTTGTAAAATTCACAATTCTTATTAGATGTTTTATATGTAATGAGCAAAAACTATAACATGTAGCCTGTTATTTCTGCCTTTATACCTATTTATAGATTATTACTGCTTCTATAGCTTATTTCTCCATTAGATTATCTTGATTTTGTAACAAACTTCCTCATTAAGTCATTAGGTTATCATGTTTAAAAAACACCATTCATTTTGAATGCTTTTTCCCCGAATTAATCGTCTATGATTTTAGCTTATCAGTTTGATCATTTGTTTATGTAATTTTTGTTTGAAATCCTACAATTTAATAGAATGCATCTTAAATAATGTGTATGCCACGAAAAAAAAACCCATTATTTTCTTCATGGCCATAGACAAAAAACTTCTTATATATTTTCAACGTTAATATTTTACTCTTAACACAAGTCTTATTGATCAACTTGCATTGTTAATTCTACAATCTAATCTCTGGCCTTTTTGATAATTTTGGCCTTATATTTACATTTAGGATGCTGATTGCATTCAACTAAATATATATCCATACTTAAACAACTCATTTAATCCGCAATACTTTTCTTCCTCATTAATCGTCAAAGCTTATAGTTTTGTAGATTCATTGTTTGCTTATGTTGTTTTCTTATTTACCTGATCCTACTTTTTAGATCACAACATAAATTAAAATTTAAGAATGAATTACTGTTTTGTGGTCTATTTGTGTAACTTTTTCCCCTTCTTTTTTAATCATGCAGGGCACCGTTTCTATTTTGTTGCTTACAGCTACTTATTATCTCGAATAAATGACTATTGAATCCTAACAAGTAACAATCTGCATATACATACAAATATTTTTTTTGATGTTATTTTCAGTATTTCAGGTTTACACATTTTAATAATCTTATGACGCTATTTTGTTAAATTGCAAGATGTTCTGAGACCATGGCACGAAGTTGTTTACATCCCGTGAAGCTGCAGGCACCTATAGTGTAGAACAGCACTATAGGGGCTCCAATTTCTTCAGCAGCTGTGATTGTGAATGTGGACAAGAATCCATCTGAAACTATGCAAGTCACTGGAGGATTGCTAGATGTTTCTATGGCATCATTGTTGAGTTTTGCAAGGAGGGTATGAAAGGGAGCCAAGAAATTTTTTCTGATGGACTCACAAAGCAAAGTGACATCTTGTGTGGTGTCTTCATTTGAATCTGGAAGGCTATCCGGGATGGCTTCAAATTGAAAATCAGGCAAGCCATCGAGGGAATTGGATCCTAGAGTTTTAAGAAAGCGCTTGTGATTGAACTCTGTGTTAACAAAGGTTATATGAAAACCTCTATGGTGGAGGAGCTTTGCAAATTTAAGCATTGCCTTTATATGGCTTTGAGCAGGGAATGGAATGCAAACAGCATGTGGCTTAGTAGCTACTTCTGTGGAATCCATCTTTGCTTTTGTGTGTGTTAGTACGAAAATTATATTGTCATTTCCTAGACTCTAGCATAGGTTGGGAGTTAGTGTGTGAATATCGTTTACTTTTGACGTGATTGACTTGAGTCCATATTGGATCAAGCTTGACAATCACATTTGAATAGAATTGTTGGACTATTGGGTTTCTCTCTTACTAGAGAGAACCTGCTTTGAATAAATTGTGGTCTTTATTTTCACACATGGGTTTTAGAGATATTGGGGTTTTGCATAGATTGAATTTTTAAGTGAAAGCTGCTGTGCATACTTTTGGAGAAAAGTCATCAAGTGTTCCTTGTTTACTTGGTGATTTATCATACACCTTCATCATTCATATTGCATTCATATGCATGTCGGTGACTCATACGGTTGAGGGCACCAAGACCGTGGTGGCAGTTTTCCTCCGGTGAGTTTGAAGCAATCGTGGCCAGTATTGCGTTCAACATAAGGAGTGTCGAAGATCATCCCATGACAGAAGTTGAGTTATGAAGAAGTCGGTAAACATTATCTAGAATGTGTCTAGAATAAGTGTGTGAGTACTCCTTGTAATCATCGTTCTATAGTGGATTTGTGTTGGACTAAGAAGTCCCGTGCATTTTCCCCAGAGGTGGGGTTTTACCACGTAAAATAATTCTCATTGTGTTCTTTTATTTTAAGCTCTGCACATTACAGGATTGATAAGCCATATCAATCCTGCTTCAAAAGTTGATTAGTATTTATTGCAAAAAATTCGAATTAGCCTATTTAACCTTCTCCAGGCATATATAGACATCCTGCGGGTATTTTCAGTGTGTGCATTGCAGTGCTTGCAAATGCAGATTATTTATAAAGCAAAACGGAGCTACTTTTCAATGTGTCCTGTTTTGGCTCTCTGTTTTTTCCCCACCACACAAGTAAGTCTACGCAGATAAGATATGTTAATGTATGGTTTTTACTATTTTCTTTTGGCTTCCCTTGACAACTTTGTAATAGAATGTGTGTTGTTATTTATCAAGCTCAAGTTTAGATTAAGGAAAACCTTTCTTGGTGCTCTTCTCTAACTTCTGTTGTATGGAGGTTCAAGCAATTTGACAAAGGTATTGTGCATTGCATATCATTTCATAAAACAGTCTTCATAAAAATGATGACTAGTCATCCGTTTCTCAGATGACTAGTCATCCTTGCTCTGTAGGATTTCCAGCTGGATAACAAACTGTTTTGTCCTATTCCTCTTTCTCTCTCTCTGCTGCCATCTGTGTTTTCTGACCTAAGGAATTTTTTGGCTGTAAAGGCTACGTTTTTGGTCATTTGGGTGTTGTCTCTTTTGGGTGGAAGTTTTGGAAAGTTTGGCTTGCCATCTTTCGCTTCTTCTTCCTCGAGAGAACCATCTTATTTCATCTATGAGTTTTTCCAATTGATTTCTTTTTGAAAAACTGCATTTGAAACACAAATCTGCATCTAGCTACTTAAATCATTCTATCATTTATATCTAGGTCAGATTCAAGATTGATTTCTTCAAGAGTATGGTTTCTTGAAGAAATTGGTCATTCTCCTTTGAATCCAAATTTTGGTTTCGGTTTGTGTTGGAGCTTGCAAGCTAGTGCCATGGGATGAACGAGCTGGAGAAGGAGCTGCCATTGCCATGAAGAACTGAGCTTCAAGCTTTGCTAAGTTGGAGAAGAAGATTGCACAAAGGAGGTATAGCTCATCTTCCTAAATAGATCTAGGTTTTTCTTGAGCTTGCTTGTGTTCCTTTGTAAGAATCTTTTTCTACTTAGTGGATTGCCTGGTCGGTTGATGACCCCCAGTTTTTCCCAATGGTGGGTTTCTGGGTAAACAGTTTCTGGTTTCCAACTCTGTAAATTTTCTGGGTTTGTGTTCTTGACAGTTGACTAGTCATCTGGGTTTGTGCAGTTGACTAGTCATCTTTTTCTGCTGTTTGGTGTTTGCTTGATTCTGCTGTTTGGTCTTCACACACTTTCACCATAGTTGTTGCTAGCACATGGGATGCCTAGATTGACGGGTCCTTCTGAGTGCTAGGTTGTCACTAGTAATTCTCTAGGCTTGCAGGTACATCTTGGTGTGCTCTGTGTATGTTATTGTTTGGTATAATTCATATATGACAGTTGACTAGTCATAAGAGTATTTGGTCAAGGTCTAGAGTGTGTGAAGTTTGCTGCGTTCTTGGTTGAATATCTTTTAAATTTACCCCTCGTCACCTAAGTACCATTTTCAATTGGTATCAGAGCACCAGCTCTTAATATAAATAGAGAGATCCTTTGGGTGCTAATTGGTATTAGGTTTGCAAACATAAAAATGGACCAAATTGCTCCTTGCATTCATGATGAGCTTGCCTTGTTTGTTCAGAAATATAGAAGGGTTGTCAAAGGTAAAACCAAAGTCACTAGGAATTGTCAAAATCTTCCTAGCTCGTCTACATGTGTGTCTCAAGACAATGTTTTTAAGGAGATGAATTTTTTGGACTCTTATGGCTTTAGGGAGGACAAAAGTTTGAAGGGTCTTGTAAAGTGCTATCTATGTGGTGGTGCTGGTCACACTTATGTGGAATGTGCAAATAACCACATGATAAAGTCTAATGGGAGAGAAGAGTCAATTAATGCACAATGGAGTGATAGTGATAGTGTTGATTCCAATAACTATATCACTTCATCTTTTGAAGAGACAAATAATTTTGCCCTTGTTGGTTCTGTTCATAACTCTAGCATTGCTAGAGTTCATGTAGTTAAGGAAGGAAAATCTGATTCAAAAAATGAATTTGTGTCTAAAGATGATAGGCAGGATGACCAGTCATACCTGGGTATGTGTGAAAAGTATGATATCCTTTTTACTGAAACTTCCAAGCTTAAGGAAAGAAATTTCCTACTTGAAAGGAAGGTAAAGAACCTGGAAATTCTTAATTGCACTTTTAAAGAAGCAAATAATGAATTGAGTGAAAATATTGAGACCTTGAAGAGTGAAAAGGATTCATTGATTGTCATTAAAAATGACATTTCAAACCAATTGAATGTGCTCAAGGAAAACAACTTGGTTTTCCATGCCTCCAACAAGAATTTGTTGACTCAGATAAATGAGGCAAATGACATGGTGATCAAGCTTACCATAGGGGCTAAAAAGGTGGATAAAATGTTGAATATGGGTAAGGTTCATGGAGACAAAATTGCTTTTGGTTATGGTTGTTCTAGTTCATATGCCCCTCCTCATTTGACCACATTTGTCAAGGAGTCAAATACAAAGTTTGATGTTTTAGAGCCAACTAGGACTCAAAGATTCATTCCTACTTGTTACCATTGTGGTGTGAAAGGTCATATTCGACCTAGGTGTAATGCTCTAAGGAATGTGTCTAGAGCAACCGATGCAAATGGCTTTAAGAACCATATTTCATCTCTTAAAACATGTGAGCTTGCAAAATTTGTTATTTGTACAAGAGATAAACATTTTTCACTTGCAAAATTTGGTTTTCAACAACCAAAAAGGTTCATTCCTATATGCCATCATTGTGGCACATTAGGACACATTAGACCCAAAGTGTTTTGAGCTTAGGAATTTTGAGCAAAAGCCTTTTGTTCATTTCAAGAAAGTAAATGATGACTCACTTCAAACTCAAGTAAATGATCTTCTTTATAAAGTTGTCAAAATTCCTACGGTGTTCTCTTTGCCTCATGAAGTCTCAAAAGTAAAGCAAGTTTGGATCAAGAAGGAAGACCATGTTCTTCCTCATGTTGGTGACTAGTTTCTTCATCTTATGTATCTAGACCATTCTCTTGTTTGTGTGTGCTTCATGGAGTCTAGATACATTGTCATGCATTTGCACCTTGTTCTTTTGTTTGATTAGGATTCATTTGTTTTAATTTTTTTTTAAAATATGGTCATTGCATGCATGTCTTTCAATCATCTCTCTCACAGTGCTTTGAATCTTGGGTGATCAACAAAATTTCATGTTCTTTTGAACTTGTTCACATTTATCTTGTTGATCTTGTCCAAACCTCTTTCCTTGTTGGCAAGGAATACATCCTAGCCATTGTAGATGACTTCTTTGGTTTTATTTGGGTCTTATTCTTGCTTGAAAAATCAGAAACCTTTCAAAGGTTTAAATATGTCTGCCACTTTTTACAAAAAGTTAAGATGACTAGTCATCTGCCTCTTGTTAGAATTAGAACAGATCATGGTTTTGAGTTTGAGAATTCTCAGTTTCTGAAATTTTGTGAGTAGATGGGAATTAAGCATGAGTTCTCTGCACCTATTACACCTCAGCAAAATGGTGTTGTGGAAAAAAATATAGAGTTCTTGTTGAGATGGTTAGGATGATGCTTAATAGCAAAAATTTTGCTAAATATTTTTGAGGTAAAGCTGTAAATACAGCTTGTTGCATCTCAAACAGGGAGTTTTTAAGGTATGGTCCCAAACAAACTCCCTATGTGCTTTGGAAAGGTAAGAAACCCAATGGTGCTATATACTTGAAACGCATGCTTCACTTATAATCTATAAAATGATTAGGCTTTTAAAAATTAATATATTCATTGTACATATAAGTGGTAATATATCCATGCTTGGAGTAAATACTAAACCTACATATTAGTTTGTATGGATTAATCGTTTTATTAGTCCTTGAATTTAGACCCAATTTGCATTTGAGTCCCTTAATTTCCAAAATCGTTCCTGAGGTCCATTAACTTCATTTTCGTTAGGACAAATGGTTCTGCCTTCAATTTTGTTAATTTTTCTGTTAAATGCAGGGGCAAAATGGTATTTTTGTATTAATTAAAATATGAATAAAAAATTAAAATTAAACTTTCTCTCTCCCCCTCTATCCCGATTTTTACTCTCACCAAACTTGATTTTTCTTTTTTTTTTTTTGTTGGATTTTTATTAGATTAGATTTTATTGTTATTTTAAAGATATGATTATTTATTTATTTATTTATTTTTTAATATAAAAAAATCATTTTGCCCTTGCATTTAACAGAAAGAGTTACCAAAATTGACGGTAAGACCATTTGTCCCAACGAAAATGAAGTTAAAGGACCACGGGCACGATATTGGAAATTGAGGGACTCAAATGCAAATCGGGTCTAAATTCAAGGACTAATAAAACGATTAACCCTAGTTTGTATTATCATAAAATCAAAAGAATTCCTATAATAGTGTGTTACTGCTTTGTTAATAAATCCCTATTGTTTAGGGAGTATCTGTTTGTTTTTGTTAGAGTTTTAGGATCTTAGAATATGATTTGGAGAGAAGAGAGAAAAAAGAGTCTGATGAAATCCAAAACTGCTCTGCTATACGTGTAGCAGAGAGAACCTTCTCATTACTCAGTGTTCAGTACAATATATCACACTCTTGGTGTGAGAAGAATATAATCGTTAGCACAGTACCAGCTGGATGCAATTCATCTAAGCAATCTCAGCCATTCACTATCTAACCAATCAAGCTATGACACCTGGACTAAGTATAAAGAAATACAACTAAGCTGAAAACAAAACTCCCAATCCTGAAATCAACTTAAGCACTTATAATTCAACACTCCCCTTTAAGTTTTGAGGTGATTTCACTCCAAGCATGCCTCTGAGATAATTGAATCTGTCTTTGGGCCAGAGGTTTGGTAAAAATGTCAGCCAATTGTTCATTTGTAGGACAGTATTCCAAATTGATTACTCCTTCTTGCAATGCATCCTTGATGAAGTGATACCTCCTGTCAATATGCTTTGTCTTCTGGTGGAATACAGGGTTTTTAGTGATTGCAATTGCTGATATATTATCACAATGCAATGGAGTAGCTTCAGTTTGAAGCTCTCCAAAGTCTTCTAGCACAAAACGGAGCCAAATAGCTTGAGTAGTAGCCTCAGCTGCACTGATATACTCAGCTTCAGCAGTAGACAGTGCAACACAGTTCTGTTTTACTGAGGCCCAAGAAAATACTCCACTTCCAAAACTAAAAGCATACCCTGATGTGCTCTTGCAATCACCAACTGATCCTCCCCAATCACTGTCACAGTACCCAACTAGAATTGATCTTTTGCCTTTCACATATTCAAGACCATAGTCCAGAGTTCCTTTGATGTATCTCAAAACTCTTTTAGCTGTTCCATAGTGTCTATTTGTAGGACAGTGCATGAATCTAGCTAGCAAGCTTGAGGCATACATAATGTCTGGTCTTGTAGCAGTTAAGTACAATAAGCTACCAACAATGCTTCTGTATTGTTTCTTCATTTGCAGCTCCACTCCCATCATCCTTAGCTAGTTTCTCAGTGGCAACAAGAGGTGTTGTCACAGATTTGCACTCAGTCAAACCAAACTTGCTCAACAAGGTGCTAGCATATTTCTTTTGATGTAGAAATATACTAGACACAGTCTGCACAACTCCCATGCCAAGGAAATGGTGAAGTAAACCCAAATCAGTCATCTCATACTTAGCCATCATGTCTTCTTTGAATTCAGCCAACAATGCTTGACTGCTCCCTGTGTACACTATGTCATCTACATAGATAGACACAATTAGAATCTCCTTATCTCCCCTCACTTTGGTATACAAAGTTGCTTCACTTAAGCTTTTTACAAAACCACAGTGAGTGAAGTAGCTGTCTATCTCTCCATACCAAGCCCTTGGGCTTGCTTCAGACCATAAAGAGCTTTATGCAGACGATAAACCTTGTCTTCTTTGCCTTTAATTACAAAACCTTCAGGCTGACTGACATAAACTTCCTCTTGCAGCACACCATTAAGGAAAGCAGACTTCACATCAAGCTGGAACAATTTCCAATCCTTTTGAGCAGCTAGAGCAACAAGAGTTCTAATGGTGTCCAATCTGGCTACAGGTGCATAAGTCTCATTATAATCCAGTCCAGGCTTCTGAGCATACCCTTAGCCCACTAATCTTGCTTTATTCTTTTGCACAGAGCCATCCAAATTCAGCTTTGTCTTGTACACCCACTTAACTCCAATCACTGGTTTTTCAGTTGGTCTATTTACCAATTCCCATGTTTCATTTTTTTCAATCATCTGCAGTTCATCTTCCATAGCCTTAAGCCAAGATTCATCCTGAGCAGCATCAGCATATTTTTCTGGTTCCATGATACACAAGTTACACTGAGCTAGAACATCATCTAGCCTTCTCCATTTTAGAGGGGTGTGATCATAAGCTTGGGTTCTCCTTTCTTCACTGCTTATATCACCTGGAGTTGATGAAGTGCTCTCTTGCATATCCAAAGTTTGAGGTGTACCAGTAGAGTTCTCATTAGAACTGTCAGTTTTCAAATCCAAGTCTACTTGGTCTTCAATTGAGTATGATGTCATAACTGAACCATCTTTGTCTGTCCAATGCCAAGCTTTTTCTTCATCAAATGTCACATCCCTTGACAGTAAAAGCTTGTTAGAAATAGGATCAAAAACTCTATATCCTTTTTCACAAGTTGCATATCCCACAAACACTCCCTTTGTACTCTTAGGTTCCAGCTTGTGTCTCAATTCAGTTGGCACATGAACATAACACAGAGAACCAAACACTTTCAAGTGTGCAATTCCAGGCTTCCTTCCACTATATGCTTCGAATGGAGTAATGTTGTTGAGAGCTTTGGTAGGACATCTGTTCAGCAAATAGACAGCTGTATGGACAGCTTCTGTCCATAGGAAATAGGGCATTCCCTTCTCATGTAACATTGATTTTGCCATCTCAATGACAGTTCTATTCTTCCTCTCAACTACTCCATTCTGCTGAGGAGTATAGGCCATTGTAAGCTGCCTTTGAATGCCATTAGCTTCACAGAACTCCAAAAAATCAGTAGACAGAAACTCTCCACCCCTGTCACTTCTTATGCATTGCACCTTGTGTCCAGTTTGTAATTCAGTCATGGACTTGAACTTCTTGAAACAATAGAAGGCTTCTGACTTGTTTCTCAAGAATATACCCAAGTCATTCTTGTGAAATCATCTATAATCAGCATGAAATATCTGTTCCTTGCAACAGACTCATTTCTCATGGGACCACAGAGATCCACATGTACTAGCTCTAGTACTTTGCTTGCTCTTTGTGCTTGATCTTTTGGAAAAACATTTCTGTGCTGTTTTCCAAATTGGCACCCTTCACACACACCACTTTGTTCTTCCAATTGTGGTAAACCATGTACCATTTCTTTATCCCTTAGCTGCTTCAATCCTCCAAAATTCAGATGACCAAGTCTCTTGTGCCAAATCCATGGGGATTGAAGAAAACTAGTCTTCATTAGTAACTGTTTTTCAGCTAGAAAAGAGACAGGATAGCATCTGTTACTCTTCATTTCCACTTTTGTGATGAGGTAATCCATGGATGGACTATCAAATACCCTGCACATTCCTTCTCCAAACACCAGACAATACCCATGTTCATCCATCTGCCCAACACTTAGCAGATTTTCTTTCAATCCTGGCAGGTACATAACTTCTCTGATGTATTTCCTGCCCTTTGCTGTATCAATACTCAGTGAACCAATACCAGCTACACTCACTAGTGCACCAGTTGGCATTTGTACTTTCCCAGCTACATTAGTTCTCACATCAGCCAGTAATTCTAAATTTCCTGTCATATGATTGCTGCAGCCACTGTCAATATACCATTCATTGGCTTTGATCTCAGTGGTTGAGCAATTTGCATAAAACAGATTTCCTGTTACCTCCATTTGATTTACACAATTAGCCTTCTGCACATTTTTGCTCACTGTACAGTCCCTAGCAAGATGTCCAAATCTGTCACAGTTATAGCATTTTGGTTTTCCCTTATACCTGCACTCACCAAAGTGATGCTTTGAACACACCTTGCATTGAGGCTTTGTGTTTTCCTGATTTGAGAACTGAGTTGAAGTGTGGTTCTGTGCAGAATAATTATTCTGCTGTGACTTGTCTTTTGCCTCCCATGACTTCCCTTTAGAATTCCAGCTTTTCTGTGACTTAGATGAACCAGACTGAGAAGTGTTTTTGTTCTGACCCTTTGCACTCACAGTGAATGAGGCAAATGCCTTCTCAGCTGTATCAACACTATGCATTTCAAGCCGTTGCTCCTGACTCTTCAAAATTGCAATTACTTCCTGCAAATCCACAGTTTCTAGTGTCTTTGTGTTTTCAATCACAATGCATATAGGATCATACTTCTTACTTAGACTAATTAACACCTTCTGAACCTGCCTCTCATTTGACAGAACTTCACCAAATGTTTTCATTTGGTTAATCAATTCAGTTAGTCTAGTAAGATATTCAGATAAGGTTTCACTATCACGCATCCTAGTGTATTCAAATTCACGTCTAAGATTTTGAAGCTTTACCGATCTAACATGCTCTCCACCATGATATTCTGAATATAGCAGATTCCAAGCCATCTTTGCAGAGTCAGCATTTGCAATTCTGGGAAAAATCTGATCAGAAACAGCATTTTGAATGATACCCAAGGCCTTCGCATCCTTCATGAGAATCGCAGCTGTTTTCTCATCAACTTCTTCTTCTGAACCATCCTCAGATTCCTGCTTCGTCTTTGAATCTGGGATTAAGAACCCCTTCTCTACCAAACCCCATAAACCATATGATCTGAAAATGGTTACCATTTTAATCCTCCAAAATTCATAGTTCTCACCTGAGAAAATGGGGATTCTAGCCTCCGAACTTCCAGATCCAGCCATTACGTATTTCAGAATCACCTGAAAACAAGATGTTTTCAGATTCGACCCTTGATCAAACTCAGTCAGCTTCGTGAGCTTAGAATGAGCACACCTTGATCGATTTTCTTCACAGAACAACGCCCAGCTTTTGGATGATGCAACCTGGCTCTGAGGCCATGTTAGAGTTTTAGGATCTTAGAATATGATTTGGAGAGAAGAGAGAAAAAAGAGTCTGATGAAATCCAAAACTGCTCTGCTATACGTGTAGCAGAGAGAACCTTCTCATTACTCAGTGTTCAGTACATATATCACACTCTTGGTGTGAGAAGAATATAATCGTTAGCACAGTACCAGCTGGATGCAATTCATCTAAGCAATCTCAGCCATTCACTATCTAACCAATCAAGCTATGACACCTGGACTAAGTATAAAGAAATACAACTAAGCTGAAAACAAAACTCCTAATCCTGAAATCAACTTAAGCACTTATAATTTTTTTTTTTTTTTTTTTTTTTTTTTTTTTTTTTTTTTTTTTTTTTTTTTTTTTTTTTTTTTTTTTTTTTTTTTTTTTTTTTTTTTTTTTTTTTTTTTTTTTTTTTTTTTTTTTTTTTTTTTTTTTTTTTTTTTTTTTTTTTTTTTTTTTTTTTTTTTTTTTTTTTTTTTTTTTTTTTTTTTTTTTTTTTTTTTTTTTTTTTTTTTTTTTTTTTTTTTTTTTTTTTTTTTTTTTTTTTTTTTTTTTTTTTTTTTTTTTTTTTTTTTTTTTTTTTTTTTTTTTTTTTTTTTTTTTTTTTTTTTTTTTTTTTTTTTTTTTTTTTTTTTTTTTTTTTTTTTTTTTTTTTTTTTTTTTTTTTTTTTTTTTTTTTTTTTTTTTTTTTTTTTTTTCTTCATTTTTCTTATCCGGAAGGAATTTGGGAATTCCGGTTGTACCGTTGCGTAGAGCACGGTGAGATGAGTCCGTAGACACGTAGTGGGCTCGAATCGGAGTTGTAACGAGAGAGATATGATCAAATGAAGCTCAGTGGCATAATCGTAAATATTTGGAAAATGGATTTTTGGTTAAAAGACGGAATTGCCCCCGTCTCTCACACACTCTCTCTCTCTCCCGCGCGCGTCTCTCCCTCTGGTTTTCGCGACAGCCACTGTGGCCGGCCACGTTTTGGCCGGCCGTGCTCTCGTCCGGCCACCAAAGTCGACGGGGCCGGTACCAAAATGACCGGGCCGCCGTCCTCTTCCTACCCCAGCCGGGTCTCACCGCCAGCCGCCGGGATTTCGCCGGAAAATCGAAGAGAAAACAGCCCGGTTTCGCCTGAAACTTCGCCGGCTTCGTTCTCCGTCGTCCGGCCACCGATTCCGGCAAGTGAGGTATGGTTTCTCACCTATTTTCCGAGCTCTAGCTGATGGTTGGGTAGGATTTCATAAATTTTGAGGCTAAGTAGCTCGATCTACGGATTGAAATTCGGCCGGTTTTGCGATCGCGATTCCGGCCACTTCCGGTCAATTTTTGGGGTAAGCCCAAGAACAAAAGTGACTCCAAATTAGGTGTATTACTTAGGGTAGGAGTCTGGGCTCGATTTGGAAGTTTTCCGGCGATGGGTATCGCTTTGGACACCCACGCGCTGCCGGCGCGTGTGGCGGCGCGTGGGCACTGTAGCTGAGGGGCATTTTTGTCCCATTGTGATCCTCTCGATGTCACGAGCGCGTAGGTGTGCTCGGATCTCATTTTGGATACCGTTAGAGTCCCGAACGGATATCGCATATCGCGTATTTTTCGGGTTCGCTAGGTTTGGACCGTTGGATGGTCCTGAAGTTATAATGTGTTGATCTAGGTATTACCAGGATCGTGTAGGATTCGACGGATCGTAAAACGGAGTCCCGGATACTCCGGAAATGCCAACCCTGGGGTTAGGGTTTAAGTATCCGTCCGATTGTGCGATCGTGAGCAATCCGACCGTCCGATCTGGACCAAACTTGCAGGACATGTGTCCTAGAGCTTGTAGAACCTCTAGGAACTATCGGATCGGAATTTGTAGGTTGTGGGCCCCGCAGGCCCGTTTGACCCTAGGTTGACCGTGAGACTCCCGAGATAGTCTTACCTTTCCTTGAGGGTTAGGATGACCTTAGTGACAGGTCTTGAGCGTTGTTGAGTTAAATGGATATTGTGGGTTTAGGATATAAATTGGTGAATTTAAATGGGGGAGTTTATGGAATATTTTATTGGTTGATGTTATTGTATGATTAGAAATTATGTTATATTTATTGATTGTGTGGATGTATAATGATATATAAGAGATTGAATGTTAGTTTACAGTGCTATACGCACTACCCCACGTACCCCCCATATTGTGATTATGTTGAGGCCCAAGTGATAGTGTGAGGTCGCACGCGTCTTTGGGTTAGCCGGCGTGTTGACAGACCCCGTACGTGGCCGGGTACGTCCCGACGTATGAGTGGGTGATATGATGGTATAAGGGCTGGTGAGAATGTAGCCAGGCCCAGTGTGAGGTCGCACGCGTCTTTGGGTTAGCCGGCGTGTTGACAGGCCCCGTACGTGGCCGGGTACGTCCCGACGTATGAGTGGGTGATATGATGGTATGAGGGCTGGTGAGAATGTAGCCAGGCCCAGTGTGAGGTCGCACGCGTCTTTGGGTTAGCCGGCGTGTTGACAGGCCCCGTACGTGGCCGGGTACGTCCCGACGTATGAGTGGGTGATATGATGGTTAAGGGCTGGTGAGGAATGACAGGGCCCAGTGGTGAGGTCGCCGCGTCTTTGGGTTAGCCGGCGTGTGACAGGCCCCGTACGTGGCCGGGTACGTCACGACGTATTGAGGGGTTGATATGATGTAGAGGGTGGTGAGAATGTGCCAGGCCCAGTGTGAGGTCGCACGCGTCTTTGGGTTAGCCGGCGTGTTGACAGGCCCCGTACGTGGCCGGGTACGTCCCGACGTATGAGTGGGTGATATGATGGTATAAGGGCTGGTGAGAATGTAGCCAGGCCCAGTGTGAGGTCGCACGCGTCTTTGGGTTAGCCGGCGTGTTGACAGACCCCGTACGTGGCCGGGTGCGTCCCGACGTATGAGTGGGAGTTATGATGGTATGAGGGCTGGTGAGAATGTAGCCAGGCCCAGTGTGAGGTCGCACGCGTCTTTGGGTTAGCCGGCGTGTTGACAGGCCCCGTACGTGGCCGGGTGCGTCCCGTCGTATGAGGGGAGCTATGTGATTATGTTTGGTGTGTTGTGATGGATAAACCCGAGAATGTATGAATTTATATGGATGTAATGGTTGAATTGATATCAGGAGCCGGGATTGATAGGAAAGAGCTACGTGTGGCTTGATCCCTTAGTAGGGTACGTAGGCAGCCTGGGATAGCGCCTAGGTGCAGCCACGACTTAGACACCACTTAGGTGGTTTTATTGTGTATGATGCGGACCTCGTGGTTGGTCCCGAAACTTGGATGAATTGAGACTGGTCCGGTGGACTGAGTGAGCGAAGGTGTGCATAGTTAGATTTTGAATTGGTTCTGTGCATGTTTGATGCATGGAGTTATTTTAAAAGCAGTGTGAGTAGTTCTGCTAGAATCATTTGAAGGCTGGAGGCCATTTATGTAAATTGCATGAGATTATATTGTGCGTGCTGCTGGTTGGGTTATAAAATGCGTTCTTTGCAGGTGGAAATTTTGGGGAATGTTCAATTTACAGGGGAGACTTTGCCGAAATTTTGGCAGAAAGTCTCGTGCCCTAAATCCTCTCTGGTAAAAGAGGACGTAGATTTAAGGAGTAAACCCGGCGTGGGTGTGATGCCGGGGTCTCCGCAGGGTTCGTCTCGGGTTCCGGGAAATTCGAGACGGGTCCTGTCAGCTTGGTATCAGAGCTTAGGTTCAATTTCTTGTGGACCCCGCATCTTGTGTGCATCCTTAAGTTGTGGGAGCATGATGGGTTCCGTCACGGGACGTCATCATTTTGACGTGGAGGACTCTTTGACATGGATGGATTTAGGGTATTGATGAGTACACTTAAGGGTGTCACGTTCCTAGAAACGTGTCTATCCAAATTGTGGTATCTCAATATCCTATGGGAGGAAACGGAAGAGCCGAAAGTATTGAATCCGCTGAGATGAGATGAAATTGTCAGAGGAAGTTGATGGACAAGTTACAAGGGAATGGAAGAGTTGTGAGTCCGACCAAGGAGGGTCGTGACAAATTAAGTTGGGAAGTAATAGTGTTGGATGAAGTATCACTTCACTCGCGTGGGCTTGAATGCCGCGATTGACAGGAGTGGAACCTCATGTTGCTAATTCTCGATTGTGTGCAGTGAGCACGTTTGAGCAGAAATCTTTCATCGGAATCAGAAATGGGTCATGGTAGAGAGAGGAAGATGATGATTACAATTCGGTAAAAATGATCCTTTCTGACATTCCTCTCAAAGAATCGTGTTGACAATGTTGCTTATCGATTCTAACGAAAGAAGGAAGATATCAACAAGTCAAGGAGTTTGGACTTCTCTTAGTGGGAGAGCTAGAAGAGAATCAAATCACAAATGGAATGGCTTGGCTGCCAACTTGGTTGTGGAGGATGAAGCATGGGAACCCGAGTAGTAGATGCGGGCCCAATACCCACACACTTTGGAGTGGCAGGTATGAAATTTCGGGGACGAAATTTTTATAAGGGGGGTAGTATGTAACACCCCGACCCCAAATTATCCCATGTTTTAATTTATTTAAGTGGAATTGAGAAATTACCCGTGGGATAGGGGTATTTTAGTTTTTTTTTTTTTTTTTTTTTTTTTTTTTTTTTTTTTTTTTTTTTTTTTTTTTTTTTTTTTTTTTTTTTTTTTTTTTTTTTTTTTTTTTTTTTTTTTTTTTTTTTTTTTTTTTTTTTTTTTTTTTTTTTTTTTTTTTTTTTTTTTTTTTTTTTTTTTTTTTTTTTTTTTTTTTTTTTTTTTTTTTTTTTTTTTTTTTTTTTTTTTTTTTTTTTTTTTTTTTTTTTTTTTTTTTTTTTTTTTTTTTTTTTTTTTTTTTTTTTTTTTTTTTTTTTTTTTTTTTTTTTTTTTTTTTTTTTTTTTTTTTTTTTTTTTTTTTTTTTTTTTTTTTTTTTTTTTTTTTTTTTTTTTTTTTTTTTTTTTTTTTTTTTTTTTTTTTTTTTTTTTTTTTTTTTTTTGACTTAGTCAGTTACCACGTAATAGGTTTGTTAAACGTGGGCTGTTCTTTCATTCTTAGGTTACTCTTTGTAAGGCTATTTAAACAGCCGTCACTACTATTATCGATTGATCAATTTTTCTTCTAAATACTTGCTATCAGAAAAGCTCTTGTTTCCAACACGTGGAAGACAGCGATGGGAAGGAGAAGACTGAAACAAGGAGAAAATCTCGTGTCAAACTGTCTAGCAAACTATGATATATTGATTAGGTTTTATTCTTACATAAAAACACAGTCAGCTGGCATCTCATGTGCATAAAATCTCTGTACTATTTATATAGATGTTTCATTCACCTTTGAGTGGGGCAAGTCCTTTTTCCATCAAAGTGCGATACTGTTTAAAGCCCATGAAGCTGCTTGCAGCAACAGTGTAAAACAGTGTGATAGGGATTCCAAGTTCTTCAGCTGCTGTGATTGTGAACATGGACAAGAAACCGTCTGAAACTATGCAAGTCACCGGAGGAACACTACTTGCCGTCTCAATGAGTTTTACGAGGAGCTCAAGAAACAGAGCCAAGAGCAAGAAATTTCTGAACGACTCACAAAGCAAAGTGGAGTCTTGGGTGGCATCTTCATCTGATTCTGGAAGGCCGTCTGGAATGGTTTCAAATCGAAAATCAGGCAGGCCATCAAGGGAATTAGGTCCAAGGGATTTAAGAAATCGCCTGTGGTTGAACTCTGTGTTGACAAAGGTTATGTGAAAGCCTCTATGGCGGAGAAGTTTTGCTAATTTGAGCATTGCCTTTATATGGCTTTGAGCTGGCAAAGGAAGACAAACTGCATGAGGCTTATTGGAAGGGGAAGCCATCTTAGGTTTTGCGATATAATGTATGATCGTGTTGCATGACTTGCTCAAATGCAGATTATTTATAGGGTAGCTATATCTACCTTTCAACGGGGCAGGTTTACTCCTGATATATAAATAGATTAGTTTTCAACATTCCCGGTGTGCTTTTATATTAAACAATTCAAATTAAAGTTTTATTATTTTTAAAAAAGACTAAAGCTTTTAATATGCACCGAAAAACCATCCCCTTATTTTTAAACCTTAAATAAAAATTTCAGCTCTAAACTGTAAGAAAATGACGATGAATAGTACCTGTTGGAGGTGAATGATGAAGTTGAGCTTCGATGAACAGATTCCACTAGGAGAAGAAGAGAGAAGAGAGATTGAGAATTGAGCGATGAGAGAGTGAGAGCTGAGCAACGAGAGAGTGAAGAGAAAGTGAGAGACGGAGCCAAGAGAGAGCTGAGAGAGAACTAAATTTCAGAAAAAGTGTTTTTTTTTTGGGACAATAAATATATATTTATATGTGGTATTTGCAAAATTTTTGGGGAGAGGTGATATTTCCACTTAAAACTAAAAAAAGGGTGGCATTTAGAGCTATTTCCTTATATTCTATTGGCTTTTCCCCTATAAAGAATAATTTTGTTTCATTATCTTTTCTTGGCCCTTCCCCAGTTCTTTCTCCAATTATTGGGCCACAAAAAGTTCAATTCTCATTCTACTTCTGATGTGAATAATAAAATGATATACTGTTTCATGGCTTAATTATTGTTTTACTCTATGAAACGAGTGCTCGGTCGTAGTTTGCCCCACAAAACTGAAAATTTCTCACTTAGGCCCCAAAATCTCTAAAAACTGCTGAAATTTTCTCACTTTACAACTTCCGTCTATTTTCGTTTGCAAAACCATTAAATGTGCTGACGTGGCAGGGGCATTTTAATAAGGCTTATTTACTGTAGCACCCCTTGAAACTTTGGGTCAAATCTCACATTACCCCCCGGAAGTTAAAATGGCCCATTTAACCCCCTTGACCGAGGTTTTGTGTTCCACTTTGCCCCATACCGTTATCTCCATTCCTAACTCCGTCAATTTTGATGACGTGGCAGGGCTATTTTAGTCTTTTTCCAAAAGTGATGATGTGTCGGGTGCTGACTCCACTTCTTTTTTCTTTTTCTTTTTTTTTTTTTTTTTTAAGTGGACTAAAATAATAATTAAAAAAAAATTAATTACTTATTTAATTAAAAAAATTGAAAAATTAATATAAAAAACTTATCTTCTTCTTCATCCCTCTCTTTTCCCCAGCAACCATCGCACACCAACCCCTCCTATTCCTTACTGCCATCTCCTATATCCCTTCACCATATAAACCACCATACCCACATATCCAAATATAAAAAACTACCATCTAAATCACCATACCTATTATAGGTGGTTCACTACTAATGCAGCAATTTAAGATTGGGAAAGTTTTATGGCAGTGGTCCTTGGAAATGGTTAATGGAGAGATTGAAATATTCAAGTTGGGCTATATTGGTAAATAGATGTTTTGGTATTTGGCCAGCAAAGAAATTTCCAAGTCCAAGAACATCAAGTTTCCCACATTCATATATTAATGTTCGCCAGATCCAAAGTCGTTGTTGATGGAGGCTGTGTTTTTAGGAGTGGACTAAGGGTTTGAGTTGATGGGTTGTGCTGGGAAAGATGGGGCAGGTTCAAAATAAGGGGCTAGGGAAGGGAGCTTGTGGCAGGGTGGGGTGACTATTTTGATGTCGGGGCTGGGCTAGGGAGAAGAGAGAGAGAGAGAGAGAGAGAGAGAGAGAGAGAGAGGGACAGATATAGAGAGAGGTGGGGGTGTCTTGAGAAGTTGTGTGGTGGGAGGGTAGTAAGGGTTGGTTGTTGGGTGGGTGATGTTGGGTAGGGTTGGAGCGGTGGTGGTGGGGGTGGCTTTGGGTTGGGTGGTGGTTGTAGTATGATAGTGTGAAGCTAGGGGAAGGGGAGGGGATGACAGAGAGAGAGAGAGATGGAGAAGAAGAGATTTTTTTTTTTTGTATATTAATAAGTAATTACATTATTTAATTATTTTTATTAATATTTTAGTCTACTTAAGCAGAAAAAGTGGAGCCTACATCTGATACATCATCACATGTGATAAAAAGACTAAAAAAGCCCTGCCACGTCATCAAAATTGACGGAGTTATGAATGGAGATAACGGTGGGGGCAAAGTAGAACACAAAACCTCGGTCAAGGGGGTTAAGTGAGCCATTTTAACTTCTGGGGGGGTAATGTGAGATTTGACCAAAGTTTCAGGAGGTGCTACAGTAAATAAGCCTTTTAATAATTCAGCTATTAAAAAACTTCACAATCCAAATTAAATTTGTTTTTATTTTTAAAGATTAACTACACAGACCCAATCACCCCAAACCCATCCCTCCCCCATGCCCGATCATCCTCAGCCACCATCATCCAAACCCAGCAGGCCCCACCCATGCCTAGCAGTTAATAAAAAAGATGCATACCCAAAATCAAAGAGCCAAAAAAATACGCTATTCATAAAAAATCAAACAAAAGGCCCAAGAAAATCATCCAATTTGCAAAACCTATATTGAAAACTATGGAAAAACAACAACCAACGAAGAACCTCACAAATTGAGCTATCAAAAAATGGAAATAAAACAGACCCAGATGTTGATACATAAAGCTTTCTAAGCTGGGTATGTTTTTTTTCCGATGAGGTCTATAAAAATTGATATGTTTTTTCATGAATATTGTTATCATCTGTGTTTGTGTGTATTGATGAAGTTTTTCAGTTTTTTCTGAAGATTAAAACCTTCGCCCCTGTTTGGTGGGCTGGACTCGACCAGACTTCTCCAATTAAAATGGATTAAAATCGTATCTGTCGTTTGGTGGGCCTAAATGCACTCTGAGACTAGTTGGGCCTGATATTTCGCTTGGGATACCAATCTTGCAAATGTGGGTATTATAAACCCAAGAGAAACCATGGGTTTCGAAGCCCCCGCCTTCCCCGTTCGCTACTTAAAGTAGCGTTTGCTCTTCTCTTCTTCCCATCGCTCTTTTTCTTCTTTTGAATCTCCTCTGTGACTTCATCACTGCCATTTTGAAAGTAGATTTCTTTCCTCTGTAAATCTTTTTTCTTCTATGGAGCTGTGATTCTTTCTTGTATCATCTCTTCTCTCTCCTCTCCTCTCCTCTCAACTCTCATCTATGATATCATACTTCTCTCTTAATTTTATTGTTAAATATTGAGATGACTGCCATCTTTTTTTTTTTTTTTTTTTTTTGATTGGTTTGTTGGTTGTGTTCGTTAAAAAAAATCTTTGTTTTCGTTCCTTGGGCAGATGATTGTTGTAACTTTGATTTTACTTTTCATTGTAGATATGATTTCACAGTTGTGGGTTACCTTCTTCTTTTTTTTTTTTTTTTTTTTTGTGTGGCTAGACTGCAATTTTGTTTCTCTCTCATAATTATCTTAAAAGAATTTTCGTGTTTATTATTAATTTTGTGAATTTCTGGACTATTTTTATGTTATCTTCATGTGATTTCTTATTTTTATTTTTATTTTTGTATACATGTTTTTTTTATTTTATACAAATTTAATTATTTTTATATTAAATAATCTAATAAACATTATAATTAATTTTAAAATAAAAAATGTTGAAGTCCAACGCAGTCCAGCCCATACTTGTACCAAACAACGGACTAGATTTAAGTCTAGTACAGTCTAGCCTAGCTTAATGTACCAAACGACTTATTAATTCATAGATAGTCAACTAATATGATTAAATCTTTTCAATCTTTTTGAATTTATACACTCATGTGTTGGTCAAGTATTTCGATCGGGTTTGATTTTTTGAGCACATGGAGATCACTAGAGCTTAGTTTCATTTGTAATATTATGTAATTTCCTTGCTTCATTTAGCAATGGTTCTTCTTCGCCTGGTGTATAATTGAAGAGGGCTTAATCCCTCAAACATCACCTGGCTAGTTAGTAGAAAGAAAACTTCGGAGTGCGTGAAATTATTTTTTCTCTTGTACTATAGTGAATTGTTAGCAATTCCTCACACTCACTTGTAATTTGGTTCGTAACCAAACTCATAGACAGGATCACAGTGGGACCAAAAATGACCCTCAACTACAGTGCCCACGCGCCGCCACACGCGCTGGCAGCGCGTGGGTGTCCAAAGCGATACCCATCGCCGGAAAACCACAAATCACGGCTCAAGACTCCTACCCTAGGTAAAACTGACCGGAAGTGGCCGGAATCTCCCCTCGAAATCCGGTCGAAAACCCAATTCGTAAATCGAGTTGTCTACGCTACAAATCGATCAATTCCTACCCAACAGGCAGCTAGAGCTCGGAAAATAGGTGAGAAACCATACCTCATTTGCCAGAATCGGGTGGCCGGACGACGGAGAACGAAGCCGGCGAAGTTTCTGTCAAAACCGGAGCTTTTCTCCTCGTTTTCCGGCGAAATCACGGCGGCTGGCGGCGGGACCTGGCCGGGGTAGGAAGAGGACGGCGGCCCGGTCATTTCGGTACCGGCCCCGTCGACTTTGGTGGCCGAACGAGGCGAAACGGCCGGCCAAAACGTGGCCGGCTGTGGTGGCGGTCGCGAACCAGAGGAGAGAGAGAGGACGCGCGGGAGAGAGAGAGTGTGAGAGACGGGGGCAATTCCGTCTTTTTAACCACTGTGATTGTTTTGCCCGTAACTTCTTCGTTACAGCTCCGATTCGAGCCCACTACGTGTCTACGAACTCATCTCGCCGTGCTCTACGCAACTCTCTAGCCACAAATAATAATATGACTTCCAAAAAGCCGTATTTATAGTGGTAGGAAATAAAATTAAAATACAAATCCTAAACCAAGTAGGAATTGAAATAAGGATCTAAAACAAAGCTAGTTTCGCATTGTTGTGATGTGAAAAAAATTACAGTCAAATTTGCTGTGAGAAAAATCAGTTGTGAAATAAAGCAGTTTGGCTTTTGGCAATTTTTTATTAAAAGTGATGTTGGTACAATAATAAGTTTTTGAGTTGTGTGAAAGTGTTGTGAGTTGTGTACAATATTGACTAAAAAGAACATTATGGTGAAATAACTCTTTAATTCATGTGGTTTTGTCCCTAATCAAGCTCACGTTAGAGGAGTGTCTATGGTTTGAAAGGGAGCATCTAATTTAAAGTATCAATTTTTTTCTTTTTTACTCAAGCTGTTGTTATCTTTGTATGTAGTATGAAATGAAATAAACAATCAGAAACTTTCTAACGGATTTGAGTGGGGTTTGGATTTGGATTTGGAAAGACGAGGAAACAAAGTAAGATTTTGGATTTTGTCTTTTCTTTAACCTTGTTTGTGTTTTCTTGTTTCTTTTCTTTTCTTTCTTTCAGATTAAGCATTCAAGTATTAATGAGAGATTATGCTTTATCATCAGGTCAATATCTCCAACATAATGATACAAGGTTTTAAAGAAACTTCCACATAATTTCTTTGTTGAAAATGGTCTAACTTTATTTTTTTTAATGACATCTTGTGTGGTGTCTTCATTTGAATCTGGAAGGCTATCCGGGATGGCTTCAAATTGAAAATCAGGCAAGCCATCGAGGGAATTGGATCCTAGAGTTTTAAGAAAGCGCTTGTGATTGAACTGCGTGTTAACAAAAAGGTTATATGAAAACTTCTATGGTGGAGGAGCTTTGCAAATTTAAGCATTGCCTTTATATGGCTTTGAGCAGGGAATGGAATGCAAACAGCATGTGGCTTAGTAGCTACTTCTGTGGAATCCATCTTTGCTTTTGTGTGTGCATTGCAGTGCTTGCAAATACAGATTATTTAAACAGCAAAAGTGAGGTAATGTCCGTCAGAATAGCTACTTTTTTATTTTTTATTTTTTTATTTTTTTATTTTAAGAATATTGCAGGCTGCAACCATAGTCATAAGTAGGAGAAAGACTTTTATGAAACAGGGATAACAAAATAGTGTTATCCCGTTGCAACTAAGTTTTTCTCCGTAAGTAGACTAATAAAACTGTGTTTTAGTTTAATAAAATTATCATTAATGTGAAGTGTTTTAGTCATAAAATAGTTTGATTGTAACTGGGTTGAAGTGGAAACAGGGACGGACCTTTAGTTTGGCAAACCTATTTATTGGAGGTTTAATTTTTTTTAATTTCATTTATTGGTCTCTACTTCTTTCAAAAAACTTTTTTAGAACAAAATAAGAAAACATGTTATTAGGCTCCGTATGACATCATACATGAATAAGGGTGCTGTATAGAATAATAATAGAGATATCAACAATAATGTGGCGATTTTTTTATTATATAGATATGGATATGGATAACATCTAATTTTTTCTTAACTCGACTAAATTATCTAAAGTTTAGAGGTGGCAATATTGTGCACGACCCATTAACACAACACGAATTCGCATGAAAAATTCAGTATTCAGGTCTGAGTTATCGTGTCATGTTGATATCGTGTTGACTCGTTAGTCACCCGTTAAGCTATCGAGTCGTGTCGTGTCAATTCACGAATACCCGTTAACCCGTTAAGCTCAGGGGTATTTGTGAAAAAAGGTATAACTTTATATTTTTAATCTATTGATTTAAAATATTATTAATATAATGCATCATGGTTAGTGCACAATTGCCTGAAAAATGATAAGACTTTAGAGTTGAAGGCCTGAAGCGTAGTGAAACCTTAATCAGAATAAAATTCTAGATATAGTACGCATCATGGTTACAGACCACTAGTACATATATATTGCCAGATAGTTGTTTATTTGAGACAATGGCAATGGAAATGATAATTAATAACATCAATATTCTTATGGAAACATCTTAACTTTTTCTCAATAGCACTTGATTCACTAAATTGTCTAAGTTTGTGGATGAAGAACCATGTGGACCAGTAGCTTCTTCTGCAAGTTTCTTCCACTCCATGACCCTTTTTTTCATCTTCTTACCCTTCTCTCCCTCCATTAACTCTTTGATAAGCTTCTCTACCTCTTCCCTCTTCGCATCATCACTAATCTCCATGCCAATTCCCCATTCATTGCAAGTATACCGACAGTTCATTTGCTGGTCTCCAAAGAATGGCCAACAGAGCACAGGAACTCCTGCAGTAATGCTCTCAACTGTTGAATTCCAACCGCTGTGCGTTAAAAATCCTCCAACTGATGGGTGGTTAAGGACTTGCTCTTGTGGGCACCACCCAGCTATTAGACTTCTTTCCTTAGTTTCAGCCACAAACTCTCGCGGCAAAATAGCCGATTCTCCAATAACAAGATCAGGTCTAATTACCCAAAAGAATGGAAGCTTGCTATTTGCAAGTCCCCACCCAAACTCCACAAGCTGTTCTGGTGTCACGACTGCTATACTGCCGAAATTCACATAGACAACTGAGTTTGGTGCCTTGGTGTTTAGCCACTCGAGGCATTCAGTTTCTTCTTTCCATAGACTGTATCCCATTTCCAAAGGGTGTTCTGGTATCTGATTGAGATGCAATTGAAGAGGGCCAACGGTGTACACATGGGGAAGCATAGATGAGAGAGCATCCAAAACATCTGGCTCCAAGGCATCAAAAGTATGAAGAATAACTGCTGAAGCTTCATGAGCTCTGTCGGTTTCTTCCATCATGAAGTTAAATCCGGTGTCATCCAGATTTGTGTTTCGCACGAAGGCCGGGAGATCCCTTAAACGGATATCTCTCATTCCTGGGATCCAATCTATTACGGTGTCCAGATAGCCATTTGTGAAACAGCTCTCATCTGCAATAGACAAATGAAATTCAATTGAAGAAACATTTCATTTGCATGTTTAGAAACAACAATTGCTTTCAATTCATAGTTATATATTTCACCTTTGAGTGGAGCAAGTCCTTTTTCGACCACAGCGCGAAGTTGTTTAAATCCCATGAAGCCGCAGGCAGCTATAGTGTAGAACAGCACTATAGGGACTCTGATTTCTTCAGCAGCTGTGATTGTGAACGTGGACATGAAACCATCTGAAACTATGCAAGTCACAGGAGGATTGGTGGATGTTGATATGGCATCATTGTTGAGTTTTGCAAGGAGGGCATGAAAGGGAGCCAAGAAATTTTGTTTTCTGATGGATTCACAAAGCAAGGTGGCATCTGGTGTGGCGTCTTCATCTGAATCCGGAAGGCTATCCGGGAAGGCTTCAAATTGAAAATCAGGCAAGCCATCAAGGGAATTGGGTCCTAGAGATTTAAGAAAGCGCTTGTGATTGAACTCTGTGTTAACAAAGGTTATATGAAAACCTCTGTGGTGGAGGAGCTTTGCAAATTTAAGCATTGCCTTTATATGACTTGGAAAAGGAGCTGGAATGCAAACAGCATGTGGCTTAGTAGCTACTTCTCTGGAATTCATCTTAGCTTTTTTGTGTGCATTGCAGTGCTTGCAAATGCAGATTATTTATACAGCAAAAGTGAGGTAATGTCCGTCAGAATAGCTACTTTTTTTTTTTAATTTTTTAATTTTTTAATTTTAAGAATATTGCAGGCTGCAACCATAGTCATAAGTAGGAGAAAGACTTTTATGAAACAGGGATAGCAAAATAGTGTTATCCCGTTGCAACTAAGTTTTTCTCCATAAGTAGACTAATAAAACTGTGTTTTAGTTTAATAAAATTATCATTAATGTGAAGTTTTTTAGTCATAAAATAGTTTGATTGTATCTGGGTTGAAATGGAAACAAGGACGGACCTTTAGTTTGGCAAACCTACTTCTTTTTTCCAGCCAAAAAAATAAAATCCTAGCTCACCCACAGACACACCCTTAGTTTGGCAAACCTGGGCTATAGCCCAGGTGGCTTCTTTTTTCAAGCCAAAAAAAATAAAATTCTAGCTCACCCACGGACGTACCTTTAGTTTGGCAGCCCAGGTGGCTTCTTTTTTTCCACCCAAATAAAATAAAATCCTAGCTCACCCAATTTAAATGACCTAGGTGGGGGGTAGTTCTCCTCATTTTGTATTAAATTGATTAAAATATGAATAAAAAATTAAAATTAAACTCTCTCTCTCCCCCTCTATCCCGATTTCTACTCTCCCCAAACTTGATTTTTTTTTTGGGTAGGTTTTTTATTTGATTTTCTTTTATTGTTATTTTAAAGATGTGATTATTTATTTATTTATTTGGTTTTAATATAAAAATACCATTTTGCCCCTGCATTTAACAGAAAAAGTTAACAAAATTGACGGTTGGAACATTTGTCCTAACAAAAGTGAAGTTAAAGGAACATGAGAACGATTTTGGAAATTGAGGGACTCAAATGCAAATCGGGTCTAAGTTCAAGAACGAATAAAACGATTAACCCTTGTCACGCCCCGAACCCGGGGGTCAGTGGAAACCCCGTGCCCAGTGCATCAGAAAATAAAAAGTAAAATAGAATAAAAAGAAGCCGAAACATAAAATAAACTTTTCTTATAAAAATAGCTCCCAAAATCTTAAAACTTTACAATTATGAAAAATAAAGCTCTATCACTCTCATCTAATAGATGTTATATACACTACTACAT